CGAGTAGCTGGGACTACAGGCGCGCACCACCGTGCCCAGCTAATTTTTGTATTTTTAGTAGAGACAGGATTTCACCTTGTTGACCAGGATGGTCTCGAACTCCTGACCTGGTGATCCACCCGCCTCGGCCTCCCAAAGTGCTGGGATTACAGGCGTGAGCCACTGCGCCCGTCTCTACCCTGCATTTCTTTATGCTCTAAGATATTTCCCCACATCCCATTTCATTCCCCCCAGGCCAAGTCTCACAGCCAAAATCTGGCAGGCCGCGAGCGTCTGTCCCTTTAAGTCTACCTTCTTCCCCCCACGTGCCGTCTGGTTGGGCTGGCGACGCTGACGCACGCGTGACGTCAATGGCAGCTGGTGGAGTCTGGGCACGAGGAGCGAAGTTGGGCTGGGGGTGGGGGGGGGGGGGCGAGAGAGAAGGCGGTTAATTTGCATTTAAAGGGGCCACTCCCTGGTTAGCAATCAGGGCCTTAAAGAAATGTGTATTCGGCAAACTTTCTGTCCTGGGTTATGGGGCAAGAAAAAGGCGTGGTACAGCTGAAGTCAGCGGCGACTGTAGTTTGCTATGACAATTATGTCCTTCCGCGGAAAGGGGGAAATAGTCCGTCGGTGCCCCGGCTGGGAGCACGTGACCGGCAGGGGGCGGATGTGGGGGGGGGGCAAGAGAGAAGAAGGGAGGAGCTGGGGAGACGACTGTCAGGCTGTGTTTCAGCTGCCCCCACCCCCACATCCTGCCCACCCTGCTGCAGCTGCCACCACATCCTGCCCAGCCGGGGGCAGGAGCTTCTGTGGGGGTGATGCACTGACCGAGGACCCGGCTTTGGTACCCCCTCCCTGCCCCCTTCAGCTCCAAGGTGGACCGTCTGCCCTTTGCCCCAGGCCTGTCCCCAGGCACCCTAGCTCTGAGCTTGGGGCACAACTCTGCCTGTACAGCCTGACACCTTTCTGCCTGACTCTGCCTTTCCCCGCAACTCTGGCCTCACCTAAAGTGTTACTTGTGCGGGGTGGTGGTGCAGGCCAGGCCACAGCCCCATCCTTGGGCTAGCACAGTTATCAATGGACAAATGAGATGTTCAATGAAAGTTTTTATAATCTGAACTGAGGAACATAGCTGCATACACACACATGCACACACAAATACAGATTCATGTTAACACATTTGCTGAGCGCATTCTATGCCAGGTCCTGCAAGGCCTTCACCCAAAGTGGAGTTAGATTGCTGCCCTCAAGAGGCCCAGGATCTGGTGAGGAGTGTGTACAGAGGAGGCAGATACTGAGTAGAGTGCACTATACAAGCAGGTGCAGGATAATACACTAGTCCACACAGAGCATGTATACACAGAACTGCTGTTCACCTGCTGATGGCCTTTACTCTCACGAGACAGGGTGGCAGATGTGGGGAGAGACTGCTGGGATCACTTGAAAACTGTGGGCGGAAATGATCAGCTCAATGGAAGGGATGAGGTGGATGGACTACGGGGCTGGAGATTGTCCAGATGGCTGTGGGGAAGGTGAGAGGGGGCCAACCAAGCTGCCAGACAGATTAGAGGCTAGACCAGCAGTAATGACTTCCAGGACTACGGGACAGGCAGGCGGAGAAATGGCCCTTGGGACATGAGGATGAGGAAGACTTTTACAAATTAAGTTGGATTAGGGGTGCTAGGGAAGGGGCCAAAAAAAGGAGATGTTGATGCCCCTTTGCCATATAAACTTAGGAAGATGATATGGTGGAGAGGAGTTTACACACAGTTTTAAAAGACTTCAATGGGCATATAAGTGTTTGATTCCTAGAGGATTTTATAGCAGCTTTGGGCTGTTAGGTAACTTTTCTCTAGGAAAGATGGATGGGTAGCCAGAGTGGGAGGAGGAAAAATGAGATCTAGGCATCTGAGTTGGCTCAGGTATTTTCCACCCGGAAGATTCTGGAATGGGAAATCCAGGGGCCAGAAGAAAAAGATTTAGTGAGTCACATTCAGAAAGTCCTTATTTTGATCTAACTTGCAGCAACATTACTCCCTAGACCTGTTCTTACCCCTCCATGGGAATCAAGGCCCCATGTTTGTTACTTTTGCTCTCTCATTTAGTTTTCTCTATATTATAAATTCTATCCCACTTGCAATGTCTGCCTTTCCTACTCTGTTCTCTAGGGAATTATGTCAGCATCTTGGGGGGTCCAGCACATTGCACCTCACCCACTGAGCTCTTCCCTCCCTTCCCTTTTCCCTCCTGCTCCTAGCCCTTTAAAACTCTCCCCAGGTGACTCACCTTCTTTCCTCATTCCTTTGTTAAGGACCCAACATTCCAAGACTGGAGGATCAATCAGCCAATCATAGCCTTGGCAAGACTGCCTCAGGCGTGAGATTGGCTGCAGCTGTGGTTGGCGGGAGGCTCACCAGGCTGATATAAAGGATGTTGGGGAGGGGGTTTCTGGGAGTCGGCCCTGGGTAAGAATTGTTCTGGGTTTGGTTAGTTTTTGGAGAGACTCCTTCAAGTAGAGCTGGAGCCAGAGGGTTCTTCGGCTTGGAGAGCCTCGAAACTGGAGGTGGCCGAGAACCCAGCTCCCTTGGTCTCCTGGGGGCTTGGCTGACCCCTGCCCACTTTCTTTTTTGTTTGGTTTTTTTTTTTCTCTATGATCTGAGACCCAGTGGGTCTGAAGACTGAGTTCCCAGGCCTGATCCTAAGAAGCCTTCCAGCAGCCTTGGATCTCTTCAGTCTCAACATTCTGCTTTCCCGACGTCGGAAACAGCCGGAAAATAAACACCCTGATGACTAAACGGTTTCTCCAGCTAGAGCCTAGGGAAGCACTAAAAATAGAGGCCACAAGTGAGGGGAGGTTCCCCACTTGAGGGGGGTTGGCACTTTCCCATCCTGCTACTGCCACAGCCTGAAGCCTGGCACAAGGCTCTGTTCTTCTCCGTCCTTGGGGGAAGAGGCAGATGGGCTCCCCCTGCCTACCTGAAGTCTTTTGGGCAAGCTAGCCCTACCTGTCGGGGGTAATTCACATCTTCGGGTGTTGGGAGCCCAGCCTCCCAGATCCAATGAGGAACTGAGAAGCTATATTTGGGGACAAAGTGGGACACCGTTTCCTGAAAGGGGGGTGTCAGGTAGAAGGGTTAGAAACTGAGGCCAAGGAAATAGGAGCCTTCTGGCTTCCTGTCTTAGGACGCACAAGATAAGTCTCCAACCTATTTGTAGAACAATCCCACTGAACTCACCTCCTTTGAGGCTTGCATGGACTAATGGAGGCCTAGAGAGTTATTTGCAGACCAGCTCTTGGCCCAATGGTCTGGTTTGAGTTTTTTATACAGCATGGGACACTACTCAGCAATCTACTTAGAAGCACTAATTTAATCTTCACACTAAATTTCTGAGTTAGCTACTATTATCACCATCTTTAGTCTACCCATGAGGACCATGAGGTAGGGGAAAGTTAAACAACGTGCCTGTGTTCAGTTAATGAATGGTGGAGTGAGGATCTGAAGCACGGCAGCTCGACTGTAAAGTTGACATTTCTAACCACCACGACACGTCGCCTTTCTCAATATATTGGAGTCTCCAGCACTAACTCAGAATTGGGTCTTTGTCCGGTGTATCAGACCCAGCCAGACAGAAATCAGGGTGTGTCCGGGCGCAGTGGCTCACGCCTGTAATCCTAGTACTTTGGGAGGCTGAAGTGGGCAGATTGCCTGAGCTCAGGAGTTCGAGATCAGCCTGGGCACACAGTGAAACCCCGTCACTACTAAAATACAAAAAAAAATTAGCCGGGCGTGGCGGCGTGTGCCTGTAGTCCCAGCTACTCCGGAGGCTGAGGCAGGAGAATCGCTTGAATCCGGGAGGCGGAAGTTGCAGTGAGCCGAGATCGCGCCACTGCACTCCAGCCTGGCGACAGAGTGAGCAGAGTGAGACTCCGTCTCCAAAAAAAAAAAGAAAGAAAAGAAAGAAAAAAGAAATCAGGATGTGTGAAGAACTGAGTGCCCCTCTGTTCTGCAAGGTTATTTGAGATCTAAGCCAGGTGCCATCATTTCTTTACGCTCCTGGGAGAAAGCAGCAGGACTTGGAAGTAACAGGGATGGTGGAGGGAAGCCTGACGGGTCTGTTGTCCAGTAGGCATGGCACCCACACTCCTGTTGTAGGGCACGTAAAGATTCACCACACCCTGGAGCAGCCAGGAATTTAAAAATAAAAATTTTAAGGAGCTACTACTGCTTCTTTAATAAGACATTTCTGGGTGTTTCCAGTGAGGTGGAAGGTGGGGGAGGAATTAGGGTCCCGCCCCTTTAAATTGCCCCCTCGGCAGTAAGTGCTGTGGGGCCCCGCAAGCATTGGAGATTAGGTCACCCAAGAACTATGAGCTGTCGCTTTAAATTGCTGGGCGTCTGCCGAGCCGGGCCCTGGGACGGGAGGGGGCCTGTCACAGGTAGAGGGAGCAACTGAGCTCCCTAGGTAACCCCCCAAGAACGTCGCCCTTAAGTGGGGCTTTTGTCACACACCAAGTGGGGGCGATGGGAGCTTTTCACCACTTCCAGTCTCCCCCTAATTTATCTACTTAGGCTCCCACCTCCCAACTCTCCCGGGCCGCGGGGCCGCGGGGCCGCGAGGAGGTGCCGAGGTGTCGCGTGTTGAGAGTGTGCGTGCACCTCGCACGGCCTCCCGGAAAGACTCTCCTGGAGCGGCCGGTGGCGGCAGCGCCGGGAGGGCGGCCGGCGTGCTCCGAGGGGTACCGTGGGAGCGGACCGATCCCTTTACAGGCCCCTGGGTCTCGCCTCCCTACTTTGCCTCGCTCAGTCCCTTCCTCCCTCCTTCCCGGCAGGCGGAGGGATCCGCGGCTCCCGGCGCCGCAGCCTAGCTTGGGAGGGCGGTGGGGCGGGGGCCGACCCGACCCGGCCCGGCCAGCCCAGGAGAAGCGAGGGGCGGGGCCGCGTCCTAGGGACCGACCCAGCCCCGGCTCCGCCCCTCCACCCCCACAGCTGCCTCCCATTGGTCCCTCCACCTGTCCGTCACCCCGTTCCCCCACCCCTCAAGCTAGGCTGAGCTGTGCCTACGTCGGCCTCGACTCCCGGGGGCTGGAGGAGTTACCTTTGGAGCCCAAAAGGAGGAAGGAAGCAAAATATCAACAACAGCCGAGGCGGCTCGGGCGCTCGGCCCCGGTTCCCCGCTTGCCAGCCGCCCGCTGCTGGCCCCCGCGCCCACGACGGGGGCCCAGGCCCCCCGGCGCCGCCCAGGGCCCGCGCGGACGCCGGCCTCATTATTATTCCCCCCGCCCGGAGCTGCGGCTTCCCGGTGTTGAAGATCCCCGGACCAGGGGCGAGGGCTGCCTGCTCTTTGCCGTGACAACCCCTTTCCCCCAGCCGGGCTGGTAAGTAGAGAAAAATAACGCGCCTGCCACTTTAAGAGGCCCCCTCCCCCACCCGGTCCAGGGGTTGGGGTGGAGGGTGGTCTAGACCGTCCCCCTGAGGGGTGGGATGGGGCAGCCCCCCGACCGGGAGGAACTCGCGGAGCGGGCCGTGTTTTCGTGTGGCGTTGGCGGGGAGTACCTAGGGGATTGTTTGTGTCAGGGAGTCGGCCGTGGGGGACAAGTGGAGTGGGCTGCAATTCCCTTGGGCGTTGAGAGTACGGGGTGGGGACGGGCGGATGGGGGCGCGCCCGCCTGTCCGTGTAGGGGGTTTACGACAGCCTTCGAGTGGTCTGGGACGGGGCGCCATCCTCAGAGGGGGTCTCCGGTGACAGCCGGGAGCGACTGACATTTTAACAGCCGGCCCTCCCTCCCTCTCCCTGCTCTCGCCGCCTGTTCCCTCCTCCTTGGCCCGAAATGGTGCAGAAGGGGGCCTGGGAGGGCGGCGGGAGGGTGGAGGCGGGGGGGCGGGGAGCCGCAGCTGTTTGGGAAGCGGGGGAGGGAGGGGGGATGTTGTTCAGATGACACCGGGGTGGTGGGTTGAGGTGTGTGAGTGTGTGTGTCTCCGGGGCCCGTGTTTGCCGGGTGCCTGTGGAGTTGGGACGCGGAGTCGCCACGAGGTGGGCACGCAGGACCCTTCTTTGGGACCTCCTAGCCCCGCTTCTGAGACCCCTGATGTGGTTTGTCAGCAACCCCAGCTGGAGAACTCCCTGGCCAGAAGTTTGCAGCTGTTCAACATCTGGGCAAGAGTTCTCTAGTCCCTCTCTCCACTTATGGCAGGCAGAGCTGGGCTCCGAGCGTGCGTCTAGGGAGTTTTGGGGGGCTTTTGGGAGGGTGGGTCAAGGAGACCAAGATTCATTTAGTCCTCCACTCCAGTGCCAGCCTCTCTTTTACCAGGTTTGGGTCTTAGGGGGATGGGGGAAAGGAGCCCCCTCCCCCTAGTGAATCACGCTGTCCTCTCAGCAGTCTTCTGAGGGCTCCCCCTGAAAGGAAAGCACTCTAGGAGCCACCGACCGGGTTATTCCAGGTTTGCCCTTCTGAGTGGGAGCCTCCCTCTGCCTCCCCTTGGTACATTGTTGATGGGTTCGGGGAGGGTATAGCAGGTGGGGGGATCCTGTGTCCCTCTTTGCTGTGCCCAACCCCCATTTGAGTTTTCCTCAGAGGCCTGGTTTCTTTGCTTTGGGGTGGGGGTGGCCCTTATCCACTCTTCCTCCTATCCCTTCAGTGGGTCTCCGCAGCAATTCAGGGTCCAGCCTAGACTATGGGAAGTTTGCTGCCTGGGGCGGTGACCTTGGGCTGCTCTGGCCTGGAGATAGAAGGGGAGCGCAGGTCAGCCAGAGATTGGGTGCTTTGGCGTCTGGGAGCTGTCCACCTCCCACTCCTCTCCCAGCCCCAACAGGAAGGTCTCAGTAGCAGAGGAGAGCATTGAAAAGGCACATGTCAGTGTTCACAGATGTCCACCCGCTTGTGGCCGCGGGGTCACACCCGCCCCAGGACTTAGTCTGGCTGTCCCAGCTCCCACGGCCCTGCCTGGGAATGAATTTCCTTCCTGTGGTTTCCCAGTGTGTTGGGCAGGAGATGGGGGTGGGGTGGGACCATTGTGGGAGTGGCTGAGAACCTATTTATATGGGTTGATTGGGGGACACTGGAGCTTATAAGGAGCTCCTTCCCCACTTGCCCCAGCATAGGCATTTGGGCCCTTGGGTCTCAGTGATTCTATTCTCTTTGTTGTAACTCCCCTGCCCCTATCAGCACACCCTGTATGTTTGCATATGTGTGTATATATATGTGTGTGCATGTACATTTGTAAAGGGAGGGGTCTCTGGTCTCTCTGGGCAGAAGGGAGGAGCTTTTACTCACTCCTGTAGGGACCAAAGAGGTTGAGTTTTTTACCTGAGATCACACAGCAAATCTGTCAGAGCTTTCATCTTTCCACTCTTTCAGGCATAGCTTCATAGCAGGGGGAGATTCTAGGAAGGGAGACATACAGTCCCTGTTCATGGAAGCCCCAGTCCAAGGGGAGAAGCAGGACCCAGAGAGCATCATGATCCTTGTGTTGGGGGATGGGCGTGGGGGATTGGCTAGAGCTTCTGTCTGCTGTACTCAGTGCCTGAAAGAATGGTTGAGGATTTGGAAGGGTGGCAGGTGCTGTCCATGTCCACCCACTCTGTGCTTGGTGCCCCTGGGCTGGAGGGCCTGGGCATCCTGGCTCTGCCCACTTGGCTCCTGGCTGTTCTCATAGGCTGGGAGATATGATAGTCTTTCTGGCTGGTGTTATATAATCTCTCTGTAGCAGCGTGTTTTTTTTTTTTTTCTTCTTCTTCTTTTTTTTAAATCTTCCCTGGGTCTTTCTTGGGAGATGTGATGGGGAAGAGAAGGCAGAATGAGACTCCTCAGGTTGAGGGGCTAAAGGATCAGTAGCAAGGAAGCTTGGGGTGGAGGGTGCCTTGGCCCCTGAGGCCTTGGGGATAGGCCCTCATTGATTATGGCCCAACCCTTCCTACCCTCCTCTTCTGACTGTGCCCTCAGAAGGTCCCTCTGCTGTGGGTGTCCCTGGCTTTTATGCCCCCAGAGAGGCCTGAACCTCTGCCCATTTTGTCAACCTTCTCTTCCTGGCCAGCTGGGCCCCCTGCCCTCCCTGGTTGGCACTGGATCCCGAGTGTCAGTGCTTACCCTGGCCTGGTGTGGGCCCTTGTTGGACACTTTGCCACTCACCTGAATACTTCTATGGGGACAAGGGAAGTCTAGGAGCAAATGGGAGGGTCCAGCATTTCCCCAGTTGTATTTAAGCCAGATTCCCTGCTTCTTTGCCCCTCTAGTCCAGAGGATGGTGGCCTTACTGGAAAAGAGGACTTGAGGGGGCATAGGTAATACAAGCCTTGACCTCTTGGACACAGGTCATTGTTGGTGTTCATCCAGGTTTTATAAGTGAGTATGAGGATGTGATGTGAGCCTCAAACCCATCAAGGGTCAGGTTCTGAGTCTCATAGCACTCAGGTGGGGATTTTCCCCATCCCGTGAGACCATGGCTGGGACTCTTGAGGCTCTTTCAGGCCAGCTGGTTTGAGGCAACTATCTTTTTTTTATGGGGAAGGAGGAGATGGTGGCAGGCCGGCACAGCCTCAGCATCACTATAATCGCTGGTGGCTTTATGAGCCAGTCATGGGGCCGGAGTCCGGCCAACAGTCTGTCCTTCTGTCCCAGTTTGGTGACTTGCTCATGGGGGGAGGGGCGGTTAGGTACTAGAGGCTGTGCTCTAGATGCTGGATGTCTGACTGTATTATGGTTGTCTATCCATGATCACAGCTGGTAGGATGGAGCTTAGACTTCAGGAAGAACTTCCCAGTGGAGAAGCTGTGGGGAAAGAGAAATGGCTCTAATTTGGCATAGGAAAGGAGGGGAACTCAAAGCACTTTCTTTTCCAGTGGCTCTCCCAAAAGGCCTTGACCTTTGGCCTAGTGGGGTCAGTGCTGTTTGGATCCTGGAATATTTATTTTCTTTTCCCTCTCCCTGCCTGGGGCTGACAGTATTCTGAGGCATTTGCCCTGGAGCTGTGGGAGAGCTAGCCATTAGGCTCCTTTCCCCAGTAGTGGGAGCTAGATGGGGTCCTGTGTAGAAGGCATGCCCAATGCATTTGGCAGGTCCACAGCATTTAGTGGTACACATGCAAGAAGGTGTGCAGCGCATACACACGGGTGTGTAGACACCCACAGAGCAGCTGCTGCACTGCGGGAGGTGGAGGGGTAGTGAATGGCAAAGATGATTAAAGGATTGGAGAGTTGGGATGGGGTTGAGGGGACTGGAGGCAAGAAGGCGAAGGGCATAGCAAGAACTTTGAAGAGAGGAGGGCTGACTAGAGCAGGAGGGATTAAGGTTAGACCACAGATGGGCAGGCAGAGCCCTGTCTGCAAAATAAAGAGCATGGCTTGTGAGTCAGGAGCCTTGGCTGGCTTCCATCCCTGCCCCTTTCCCCTCCCACACATGCCCCTCTCTGTGGTCCTGGCACAGCCTGCCTCTGCCCCTCACACTGACCGTATGTCCCGGGGTAAGTCACTCCTCTCAGGCCCCACCTTTTCAATGTACAGAGTTTTGCCTTTCTGTGATTAACACCTGGGTGTTTTGCTGGTTTGTCCCTGGTCTCTGTTGCCCTCCCCACTCACCCTGATGAGCAAGTCCACTCTGAGGCATCAAGGCTGCATCTAAGCCCTCAGGCATTTGGGGGTAGATCCTTGGCCTAGGTGATCCCCAAGGTCCTCTTCATCTGACTTTTTCTCTTTCTGAGGCTGAGACTACAAGCCTCTCTTTTCTGAGAGCCAAGTCATCCTTCTGGTTAGTCCTGGCTAGCGTGGAGACAGGGGAATGCATTCATTGATTCTGCACAGGACCCGATAGCCAAGGGGGCAGGAGGCACTTGTGCCTGTCAGACTTCTCTTCTTTCTGCTGTAGGCTGGGAGGGGAGGGACATGTCCAAAGCTCTGGCCTGTCGCTGGCCACACCCAGGCAGGACCATATTTACTCATTTAAACTTACCCTCCCAGGAGGCTCTGGGCTCTAGGCCTAGTCACTGACCTTGGCTTGGTGCCTCTGGCTGGGTACTCTGGCCACTCTCCTAGGAGTTGGGCAGATCAGGAAACCATATAGAGGTAGCTCTTTTTTTGTTTGCCCCCTGATCAAGGGAGCTTTACCCTCAGTATTACCTGACTTGCCCGAGGTTCCAGTATACTTCGTAGGCCAAAAACCAAAGCTTTTTTACTTGTACTTTTTGAGGCAGGGTCTTGCTCTATTGCCCAGGCTACAGTGCGTGATGCCATTATGGCTCACCGCAGCCTCCCATTCAAGTGATCCTCCTTCCAGGTAGCTGGGACTCCAGGTGAGCTACCTTGCCCCACCCAAAAACCAAAACTTTTGAGATCCCGATGGAGAGAGGTGACGGGTTCTCAAAAGGGAGGAAGAAAATGTCCATT